TTATTATTTTTTATTTATTTTATTTTATTTATTTTATTTATTTTATTTAATTTTATTATTTTATTATTTTATTTTATTTTATTTTATTTTATTATTTTATTATTATTTATTTTATTTTATTATTATTTATTTTATTTTATTTTATTATTTTATTTTATTATTTTTTATTTTATTATTTTTTATTTATTTTATATTTTATTTTATTTTATTATTTTATTTTATTTTATTTTATTATTTTTTATTTTATTATTTTTTATTTATTTTATTTTATTTATTTTATTTATTTTATTTAATTTTATTATTTTATTATTTTATTTTATTTTATTTTATTTTATTATTTTATTATTATTTATTTATTTTATTATTATTTATTTTATTTTATTTTATTATTTTATTTTATTATTTTTTATTTTATTATTTTTTATTTATTTTATTTATTTATTTTATTTAATTTATTATTTTATTTTATTTTATTTTATTTTATTTTATTTTATTTTATTTTATTTTATTTATTTTATTTTATTTTATTTTATTAGTTTAGTTTAGTTTAGTTTAGTTTAGTTTAGTTTAGTTTAGTTTAGTTTAGTTTAGTTTAGTTTAGTTTAGTTTAGTTTCTATACTTCTATACCCGAAGGACTCAGGGCGGTGTACAGCCTGATTAAAAGCACAAAGACAGACAAAATTTAAAAATAATTAAAATTATTAAATGATAGGCCCAATTATAAAACCCCAAATTTAAAATCCCATTTTTAAAAACCAATTAAAATCTTTATATTGATAGCCCAGCCTGGCGGAACAACAAGGTTTTGAGGGCACAGCGAAATACACGGGGATCAGAGATTTTACGAATTTTTGGGGGCAGTTCATTCCAAAGGGCAGGGGCTCCCACAGAGAAGGCCCTCCCCCTGGGTGTCGCCAGCCGACATAATTTGGCCGATGGCACCCTGAGGAGACCCTCTCGGTGGGAGGCTACTGGTGGCAGAAGACGGTCTCGAAGGTATCCAAGTCCAATGCCATGGAGCGCTTTAAAGGTGGTAACCAACACCTTGAATCGCACCCGGAAGACCACTGGGAGCCAGTGCAGCTCGCGCAGAAGGGGTGTCACGTGGGCACAACGAGTTGCACCCATAACCACCCGTGCGGCCACATTCTGGACCATTGGAGCCTCCGGGTGCTTTTCAAGGGGAGCCCCATGTAGAGAGCATTGCAGTAGTCCAGTCGGGAGGTGACAAGGGCGTGAGTGACTGTGCGCAAGGTGTCACGATCCAGAAAGGGCTGCAACTGGTGGATCAGGCGAACCTGATAAAAAGCCCCCCTGGCCACGGCCATCATATGTTCTTCTAAAGACAGTCGTGCGTCCAGGAGGACGCCCAGATTGCGAGCCCTCTCTGTGGGGTGAACATCAATCTTCAGCTACTATTTTTCACTGAATAAAATGTTTGCTAATTAAAACTAGCCAGATATCATCTGCGTGTCTATACATTGAAACTCTACACCACAATTGCTGTCTTAGCTATTTTATCTTTTCTCTTGTGCTTTCCAGCATTTGGTGGTCATACCAAAGCTATTTTAGGTACAGCTGTTGCCAGGATTGCTGGTAGCACATGTTGCTGAGTGCCATCTGTTTCCTTTTTCTTTTTTCTTTTTGCTCCAGTCATATCCAATGCTCTCCAGCATGACATCAATTTCCCTTGTAATTTTTAAGAGAGAGAGAACGCCATTTTACTTGCTGCAAAGCATGACCTTCAAATTATGACATTCACCCAAACAACTAATCCTAAACTAACCAAAACTAATGAGTTAATGGAAAACTAATAGGAAAACAATGTGACTCAGAGGCATTATTTTGCCCTTCCTTCATGATTTTTTTTTCTGGGTACTTATTCTGCCCTTTCCACCTTACTGTTGCTACTGCTTATTATGACTTGCACTTGATGCATTGATTTTCTCTTCATTTCAAGAATGCCAGATTGTTCTTGAATGTCATTGTAGTAATACATTTCACCTGATTTCTATGCATTTTGTAATTTTTGTTTTCCTTTAAAAATCAAGACCTCATTTCTTTCTTGTAACACTGCCTACAATGCCTTCCTGACAATAAACAGAAGTGAGAAAACTATACTGCATGGTAAACATTTCACAAATACTCCTCTGATTACTCTAAAATGCTAATGGCTAAGATACAAGTAGCCTTCTACTCACTGATAGTTGCCCCTTATGCATTCTTCCCTTCAGCAGCACACTGGCCATCAAGAGATCAGAGTGCCCTTTCAACGTCATTCAATGATACCATCCCAACAAAGTAGGGCAAATGAGGCAATGCAGCATTATCCCCAGATAAACAAGTAGTGTAGGGAATATTTGTGTACCTGCATCTAATAAGTTCCAAGAAATTAATTAGAGGTCTTATCTAGGTGACCTGCTGCTTAAGGCTAAATTTGACACAGCAGGGACACTGGGGCATTTATATCTTGATATTGTCTGGCTTATTTTTCAGGCAGTCTGTGACATCAAATTTAATATCACAAGATATGGAGAACGTGTGTGAAGTTAACTTTCCTTCGTAACCTTGAAGGATGTGAACTAAAGTTTTGGATACAAAGAAATGGTAACACAAGGGACATTTATTTTTTCTCATGACTTTTATCATAAATTTCCAGGATTCAACTTATTTCAAACTCACACTAGTAGAATAGAATTTTTGTTATGGTCACTGACCAGAATTTAAAACAGAAACACATAAATAAAAAAGTAAAATTGAAACAAGACAAAATATTACAACTGGTGGTGAGCTCATAAATGAACAAGTCTGCCTAATTTTACAGGCTATGGAACAAAATTTAGCTGTGTCCAAGGAGACTGAATCAATAGTGATCTGATAATAATAACTGTACATAAAAAAGATCAGAATTTCCTGGGTGGTTTACCAGGTAAAACATTATAAGGTGGGTCCTTGAATCCTTGTAGAACAGGGGTGTCAAACTCATGTCGTTGTCACGTGACCAGTAGCAGCATTGGCGGGAGGCTCCACCTACCTGCCTGGACATCATAAAATACGATCTGTGCATGCACAGAAGTGGCGCGTGAGTGAACAGGTAGCAAAGGTAAGTGAAACCCACCTGACGCTAAAGTGAGGGTGGGATGGCCAGCACATGATGCATCTGGCCTGCGGGCTGTGAATTCAACACTAATGTTGTAGACGATACAGTATTGCAAGACATGAGTTGTAGTTTCAACAGACTTTTGTCCAAAGGAACACAATCTCAGTTTACATGGGATTTTTTTTTGTTATAATAGCACTGTAAAACTGTTGTAGGGAAAGTGCTGAAGTCAGTGCTCTTCGCAATTTGGAAACCTTTATGTAGTGTATCTTACTAGTTTGTAAAAAGGGGCCAACCGGTCCTCTTTTAATATATTGTTTAAATGCGTTGAATGCTCATTCTTGTAACCATCATTAAGGATTCCTCCCCAGGCAATTCAGCATAAATTAGAATAGAATAGAATAACAGAGTTGGAAGGGACATTAGAGATCTTCCAGTCCAACCCCCTGCCTAGGCAGGAATCCCTACACCACTTCAGACAAATGGTTATCCAATCTCTTCTTAAAAACTTCCAGTGTTGGAACATTTATAACTTCTGGAGGCAAGTTGTTCCACTGATTAATTGTTCTAACTGTCAGGAAATTTCTCCTTATTTGCTTCTCTCCTTGATTAGTTTCCGCCCATTGCTTCTTGTTCTACCTCAGGTGTTTTGGATAGTTTGACTTCCACTTCTTTGTGGCAACTCATGAGATATTGGAATGTTGCTATAATGTCACCCCTGATCCTTCTTTTCATAAGACCAGACATATCCAGTTCCAGCAACCGTTCTTTATATGTTTTATCCTCGAGTCCCCTAATCATCTTTGTTGCTCTTCTCTGCACTCTTTCTAGAGTCTCAACAACTTTTTTACATTGTGGCGACCAAAATTGGATGCAATATTCCAAGTATGGCCTTACCAAGGCATTATAAAGTGGTATTAACACTTCAGGTGATCTTGATTCTATCCCTCTGTTTATGCAGCCTAGAACTGTGTTGGCTTTTTTGGCAGCTGCTGCATACTGCTGGCTCATATTTAAGTGATTGTCCACTAGGACTCGAGGCAAATTAGGCAAAGAAAGAGGAGGAGGAAGAGGAGGAATATGCCCCCCAACTTTTCTCTGTTTTTATCTATTAAGCAATTATAGCAGGGGAAACCATTTGAATTGCTGTAATTTTTTTTTTCCTTTTCCATATATAACTAATAAAAATGTCAGATTTGTGAATTAATGAAAAAAAAACCATTTATGATTTTTTCTATCCTATCAGCTGTCCATCAAAATGCCAAGGGCACTAATTTTTTATGCACTGTGACACCAAGATGCTGGGAGGGAAATCCACTCTTATAATCCAGGGCTTCTTAATTTTTACTCTCCCTTTTTCCTTTACATTTTGCAGTATTTTCCCTTGAGCATAATCACTTATTTAGCAGGTGCTTATTTAAACAACAGTTATATGAACTGCTGTTATAAACCAAATAGTAAAAATTACACATTTATATACTGTATGACAGTTTAGTCCTGGCAGAAACTAAGAGCTCCGACACTGTAAGAAAATTAAAGTCTTAACTAAGCAACTCCAACAAATAGCAGGAGACATTTAAAACCACCATAAAAAGATTCTGTGCTTATTCCCAAAGGCCAAGATTAAATGGCTATAAACCCGAGGCTGTAAACTTCAAAAGTAGTCTTAGTAGTCTAAAAGCTTCCTACTTGAAATGTAACAGGAACTTTACTAATTCAGGTAAATCCACAAAGCAAATGAACAGTTCAGTATCAATTCAGAATGACGCTGCTATATAGCCTTTCCTGGAACATTCCTAAAAGGCTTTTAGTTCAGACAAGATTTTTAGAGTACAGCAGGATGTGGTTTCTTGAATGTGAAATGTTAGCTTAGAACACGAAGTTTCCTTATATAATTACCAAGTTTAGTAGCTCCCTCTGGTGGATAGTCAGGAAACTGACCCTCTGAAGGAACACTCACGGTACGCCGGAGGCAACGCCCTTTGGTGGGCTCTGCTGGCTGCTCTTGTCCTCCTTCGACTGCTACCTGTATATGAAAAGAATACAGGAATGATACAATTTTCAGCTTTCAATATAAATAATTGGAAGAACAACTTATTTTTTCTGGTTCAAAAGTCTTTGCCCTAATGCACGTTAAATATACTTCATAGATATCTGAGCCAAGATTTAACTCTGTATGATTAGAAGGGTACCTAAGGCCTTGGACATGCTGTGCATAACTCTGGGAGCCCCTTTTCTAAATTATATGTTCTTTCAACTGTAGTTTCTTCTTTCAAAAAAAATTTACAGTGATATAATCAATGGGGATAATGATTGTGGTTGAGATGAAAGCAATACGCATGCATGCTCAACCACTATCAAGATTGTGGCCTGTAGTGAGTTTGTTTTGGTATCTTCATACGAGAAATTTTAGATACTGAACTCTAAATTCATTTTTTTGTCTAGCTTCTATGACTGCCTTCTGATATATGAAATGTGGTTCAAGTTTATTTTTTCAACTGTGCAGTATAGAAAGCATGATATTGGATTTTCATCCTTCGGGCAGTTGAGCTGTCAAATGAGTTGCATATATAATATACTGAAAAAAACAGCAAATTATTAAGCACAAAAACTGAATTATAATAGGATGAGCTTTTGTAAAATGAGTTTAAATAAGGATTTTCAAAGTCATGATCCAGAACTAGCAGCCTGAAATTACAATATTGTTCCATGAAACATTAGGAAATCTCTAGTACAAGATGTCCAAGAATTGCTGATGAGAAGATTATGACAGCCTTGTGTAAAAACTTTACTTAAGAACTTCAATTATTTTCTTCATTTTGGACTTTTAGCTAAGATGTCTGTTTTCAATCGGACACAATTTTGACAGTGTCAAACCGTTTAAATTACGGTTTTAGATATGCTTGTTCTCAGTATATATTCAAAGTGACAGGTATGTGTAATTTCATAGTATTTATGAGGGTTAATTATTAATTTGCAGTTTGTTTATTTCTCCCATCAAAAGAATGGAAAATCTAGCAAGACATTCGAGCAGTGTAAAGCTTTTTCCAAACCATTTCTGCAAAAATGCATCAACTTCTAAATAATTAAGTGGGCAACTATCAACTGGAACTAGCTTACAACTGATAAATTGTCTCACCACTTGCCAATATTTCTCTAGTAACTTTAAAACGTTTCAAGCTATAGTCAGACTTGTTATAATTGATTACAACATAGAGTTATTTTTTTATACAAGGTGTGAATCAGAATGCCAGCACTACTCTCTTCCCAGATAAAGATTTGCAGACCCTGTATGGCCTAAATCAGAATTAGGCAAGCGGATTTGCACTTGCGCAAAAGGATTTCCCTCCCAAAATAGCAGTTTGGTGGTGGACGTAACTGGAATGACTGAGCAATTTGGCCCCTTGGTTTCAGATTCTGTAGAATATCCAATGCCACCTGTGTAATACCAGTAAAACAGAGTCTCTCTTGACCCCTCCTGTGTGTCTTCCAAAATTGCTCCGTGGTGAGGACACAAGGGAGGGAAATCCTTTTGCACAAATCCATTTGCCTAATTCTGATTTAGACCATAGAGAGACTGCAAATCTTTATCTGGGAAGAGAGTAATGCTGGCATTCTGATTCACACTTTGTATTAAAAAAATATGTGAGAAGTAATTTCCTGGAATGAAGCATGGTTGGCAAGAAAAGCAGTTGGGAAGCAAGCAGATCTCTACTGTTCTCAATTTTCTGATTCAAAAATGGTAGACTATATTCAATTTGTCCTCCAAGGATCTATTCAGATGCCAGGAACATTCAGATCAGCTTCCCCAAAAATATGTATAACAGCTAAAAATTTGAAGACTTTCAGTGCTACACTACCCATGGCAAACACTAATAATGCCAAATTATGGGTGTCAAAAAGATTGTCTGGTTTAAAGAGCTGCCGATGGATGCTACATGAACACCAACATATACTTTAAATCATCTTTCTCCCTTGAAATGCTTCACACCTCTCTTACTTTTGTCTAAAAGCAACAGCATGAGGGTACAGTTGAAAACTTTACAATCAATCTATCGATCTGTATTTGTTATGGTCTATAGAGCAGAGATTGGCTATAATTTTTAAAAAGAAGCATAAAAATATAAAAGAATATATATAAAAGTAGTCCTCACTTAGTGACCATAATTTGGACCAGCGGCTTGGTCATTAAGCAAAGTGGTTATTAAGTAAAACCATTCTTTTTTTTTAAAATAATACTTTGATTTTAAAAAATTTTTTTAAAAAGAAAACATCAAATCTCCATTAACATCTGAGATGTCGTGCGGTTACATATTTACATTATGTACATATCAAGTATCTTCAAATCTACCATTATTAGAAATAGACATATCCTTATAATCTCGTTCTATTATTCCACCATTTGTACCACCTTTCCCATACTGCCTTAAATTTTGAATTCTCATCGTCTTTAAGAGCACTTGTTAATTTTGCCATTTCTGCGCATTCTAGGATTTTATTTATTATTGTCATCTCTGGAGGGGTTTGTTTGTCCTTCCAGTATTTTGCAAAGGTTAATCTGGCCGCTGTTATAACATGTATAGTTAATTGTATCTTGTCCTTAGAGAGTCCATCTCCCATCATTCCTAATAAGAAGATTTCGGGGCAAAGTTTTATATCTTCTTCCACTATTTCTCGTAGCCAGATTCGTATTTTTGTCCAAAACTTTTTTGTCTCCGGGCAGGACCACCACATATGAAAGAAGGTGCCAACCTCCTTTCCACACTTCCAACATATTGCTGAGGCACTGGGAAATATTTTTGCTAGTCTAGCTGGGGCTAGATACCATCTATGAAATATTTTATAGTGATTCTCCCTATAAGTTGCTGATTTAGTCAAATTATAATTTCTATTCCAGGCCTCCTCCCAGTCATTGAAATTTAGCCTATAGCCAATATTTTTCTCCCAAATGCTTAGTTGATTCCTGGCTATTCCTTCTGCTCTGTCCTCGCCTAATAAGAAGTTGTAAAATCTCGCTAGCATTTTCTTTTCAATCCCCAACATAATTTTATCCAAATTGTTGTACTTCGTCTCTATACCGAATTGATCCCTATCTTTTTGATATCTTGAGCTTATCTGTAGGTAGCTCCACCAATCTAAATTGAAACCTTGATTACTTAATATTTCTCGTGATTTAAGAATACATTATCATCTAATATATCATTGTACGTGCCGAATTTCAAGATATCCCTTTTATTAGAGGCAGTCAGAGCCTCCATAATTGAGAGCCAGATCGGTACTTTCGTGTAAAATCTTTGCCTAATTTCTTCCCATGTTTGAATCAGGGTCTCCCTTAATTTGTGTTTGTGGAAATATGAGTTCTTTTTATTCTTTAGGCCCCATAAATAAGCGTGCCAGCCTGCCTGTAGATCGTGGCCTTCTAACGTCAAAATTCTCTTGTTTTTTAATGTAACCCATTCTTTGATCCATACTAATTTGGCCGCCTTCTGATATGCTTCCCAATCGGGTAATCTGAAGCCACCCATGTTTCTTTTCCCTTGCAGTGTTTTATATGCAATCCTTTCCTTCTTCCCTTCCCATAAGAATTCTCGAACCTTCTTTTCCAGATCTAGGAAATATTTTTTATCAATATTCACTGGTATAGTTTGAAATAAAAATATAATCTTGGGGAGAATATTCATTTTAATTGCTGAGATCTTACCTGTAAAAGACAATTTTAACTTCTTCCATCTGTCTATATCCTGCTTCATTTTTTGTAGTAGTGGACTGTAGTTATCCTCCTTTAAAGAGGAATATCTTGCAGTAATCCATATTCCCAAATATTTTATTTTCTTCGCTATCTGAAGTTCTAAGGACTTTTCTAGCTCTTTCTTGTTTGTCTCTGTCATATTTCTTACTAAAATTTTAGTTTTGGTTTTATTAAGCTTGAAGCCAGCGACTTCTCCATACTGTTGTACTTCCTGGAGTAATTTGGGGCCAGATTTCAAGGGATCTTCCATTATTAAGGCCACGTCATCTGCGAAGGCTTGTGTTTTAAAAATTTCTTTCTTAATCTGGAGTCCTTTGATTTCTTTGTTATCTCTGATCTTTCTGAGTAGGATTTCCAGCGCCATTATAAAGAGTAGCAGGGACAGGGGGCATCCCTGTCTAACTCCCTTTTGTATCCAAAATATCCGCGTCTTGTCCCCATTTATTAAAATACTTGCCCTCTGTTTTTGGTAAATATTTTCAATCATCTTTCTAAAATTTGTCCCAAATCCCATTAAATCAATTTGGTTGATCATAAATTTCCAATTTAAGTTGTCGAACGCCTTTTGGGCATCCAAGAACACTAATGCCAGCTGTTTTTCCGGGTGCTGTTCATAATATTCTATGACATTTATTACAGTCCTCACGTTATCCCTCATTTGCCTCCCTGGGAGGAATCCTTTCTGATCATTGTGAATCCAGCCATTTAGAATTTTTTTTAGTCTTTCCGCAATTATACTTGTAAATAATTTGTAATCTGAATTTAACAAAGAAATCGGCCTATAATTTGCTATCTGTTTCGGGTCAGCACCTTCTTTCAATATGAGTGTAATATAAGTTTCTTTCCAGGAATCTGGGATTCTTGTACCAACTAATACCTCATTAAATATATCTAACAGTTCTAATTATAATTCTTCTTCGAATTTTGCATAAATTCCCCCCGGGAGACCATCTGGGCCTGGTGTTGTTGTTTTTTTTGATTTTGGCAAGAGCCAATTTGAGTTCTTCCACTGTGATTTTGTTATTTAACATTTCTCTCTCTTCTTCCGTTATCTGTGGCAAGTTAGCTTCCATCATATATTGTAGAGTTTTATCTGGATCGATCGCTTCCTCCTTATATAAAGTTTCATAAAATTCTCTCGCTCTTTCTAACTTATCCACTTCTTTTGTCAAGATATCACCATTGGAGTCTTCTAGTGTGAGAATTTGATGTTTTTCCTGTTCTTTTTTTAATCTGTATGCCAGCCATCTTCCCGACTTGTTGGCGTTCTCAAAGTG